TTCACCACTTGTGTAAATAGTAACTACAATTACAACCAAGCTATGACCAACTTATTTATTTAGAGAGAATTATTTTATTTTTTAAGTCCATAAATATAAGATTAATAGGTTTGGACGAGTTCGATTGAATTAAAGCTAGTTTGGGTAAAACTTAATCCATTTACTTTTATATAACTGAGTCATTTATGCGTTAGCGGGCTAAATGGGTTACCCATCCAATTGCCACCGCTACTTGTGATCCACCTACAATGCTAACTTTCTCTCTTCCCACCTGCACGTGGAGATAGAGTCTGTGAAAGTGAGTGATACCTTGTTGCAAGGGGAAATCATGAAGAGCTAATGTAGAAATGAGATTGGGAGAAGTGGAGGGAAAAGAGAGATAGCAACTTCTTTTTCTAAAGAAAAAAAGTGATAAAAAGAAAGGAATAGAAAAGCTCATGCGAAGCCTACATGAAACCACACTAGTGATATTCTGTTGAGAACTTGATAACTGTTTATTGGCTGCTAGCCATAAATGCAAGTGGAAGATTGGGTGGATGCGCATCATATGTTAGGGCTGATGTGTGGGGCAAAATGATTCGTAGATAGAGAGAGAGTTTAATTAGGATACAAGGACTTTGCCACCATAGTCATTTTGGTGTATTTTGGGCCTTTTGGTATCACAAATTCACAATAAAGGTTGCCCTTATAAGAACAACGGTCTGATTCGAACTCTCAATGTCATAGATTGATAGATCGATAAAGCTAGTTGCAAATGGTGTCTGAATTAGACTTCAAAATCCAATTAGATCAAGGTAGTGCCCAAAATTTGATCAGTTCATAGATCAAATATTCCACCTCAGTTCGATTCCATACAATCCAATTCAATTATATTAATATGCATACTCATATGTTTTTTTTTTTTTTTTGTAATGAATCATAAGTCTCATAGAAGTTACTTTTCAAAAATTTTATTTATAATATACAATATCAAGATTATCTTTAGTTCATTTTATAATAAAATATAATATTCTATTTATTTAATTTAAATTATTGATAAAATCCAATCCAGAGATTAATGGATCAAAATTTGAAACTAGGAATATCTAGGTTGATCTACTTCATCATGCAAAGTGAGAATCAGAATGGTTGTGAAACATATGCACTTGATGGCTGATATGGAGCATTATTATTAGTTAATCCCTAACACAGCCATAAAATGCAGCTAATCTGGGTAAGGGTGCAAGTAAGGCCAGGCTGGGTCAGGTTGACATCAACCTTAACTTGAGTTGTTGAACCCCTAACCCAACTCTAAAACTTCTGGTTAGGTTCAAGTTGGGTTTGGGTTGGATTTGGGATGGCCTAATTTTTCTATTTCCTTTTGCCAAATGTATTTTTAGGGTTTAAGTTAATTAAATATTAATTTTATTATGCATAGAATACTGTTATCATGGTTTAGAAAGAATTTGCTGTTAAACTTGAAATTTTAGTATGCGTAGAATACTGTTATCATGCTTTAGAAAGAATTTTCTGTTAAACTTGAAATTTTTGACATATAATATACATACATACATGTATACTTGAAGAAAAAAAAAAGAAAAAAACAAATACAAGAATATAGAGATATATACATTTATGGATGCATATTTGTATATGCATACATGAATGAATAATGAATACACATACATATACACATAAGTACTTAATTCTGGTTGGGTTAGGTTAGTTAAGGCCAAGGTTCATACTTTTTCAACCCTAACTCTAATTGATGTAACTGTTTCTGGTCACGTACCAATTTTTTGTGATGTATCAATTTTTTTTGGCTAAGTACCTCGTCATTTGACCTGCTCCTAGCAGAGGATGGTGGAGTACTTTCAATTCAGATAAAACCTCATCAGTCCTCTCCGCAAGGTCCTTTCTACAAAGATGAGCTCTTCGTGGCTTCCGCAGGAGTTGGCGGCCAATGGACTACATAGGCACCCTTGTTGGTCGAGCCTTCCAAGGCTCCCGTGTGAGTTGGTGACCTAAAGTTAGTAGTGCTGCCCCCAAAGGTCGAGTTCCTACTAGCTTCTTGTAGGACTGGGTGACCGGCATTACGAGGCTGATTCAGCGGAATCACAGGTAGTTCGGCACCCGGCCAGCCCGACACCTCACAGGTAGCTCGGCACCTGGTCAGCTCGGCACCTCATAGGCAACTCGGCACCCGGTCAGCTCGACACCTCACAGGTAGCTCGACACCTGGTTAGTTCGACACCTCACAGGTAGATCGGCACCTGGTCAGCCTGACACCACATAAGTCCCAATCGCCTCTTTGGCATGGGCAAAGTCAAGAAGAGTGGACTATGAGTCGCTCCCAAAGCCTACGGGCCACATTACTACTAAAAAACCCAGTCGCCTCTACGGAATGGGCAACACAACTACTTAAGACCCAGTCGCCTTTTTGGCATGGGCAAAATCAAGAAGAGTGGACTACGAGTCGCTCCCAAAGCCTACGGGCCACATTACTGCTTAAGACTCGGTCGCTTCTTCAGCATGGGAAAATCAGCAAAAGTGGACTATAAGTTGCCCCTAGAGCCTAAGGGCTACAGTACTGAACTGGCAGAGACCTCCTCACCTTACAGGCAGCTCCTAGAGCCTAAGAAATTGGACCAACGCTTACTAGCTCGTCGACTTACGGGCCAAAAGGAGAAATCTACTCCCTTCGCCGAGTTACTCTCAGCTCGGGAGTGGGGAGCAAATGATGAGGGTGGATTTGGCCCTCTAGTGAAAATACGACACCTGGCACCTCATGCCAACTAAGTGCAACCTCTTGACAACTAGCTCGGCACTTACAAGCAGCCTAACGTCTTATGGAGAGCTCGCCACTTACGGGCAGCTCGGCACCTGGTTAGCTCGACACCTCACAGGCAGCTCGGCACTTACAGGCAGCCTAGCGTCTTACGAAGAGCTCGCCACTTAGGGGCAGCTTGGCACTTACAAGCAGCCTGGCGTCTTACGAAGAGCTCGCCACTTAGGGGCAGCTCGACACCTATAGGCAACTCGGCATAGGTAGCTCGCCACAGGCAGCCGGCCACTCCACAGGCAGCCTGGCATCTTACGAAGAGCTCGACACTTAGGGGTAGCTTGGCATATCGCAGGAAGATCTCCTGTCTGACAACCGTACCTGACACCTGCGCCCACGTCTCTCGCTAGGCGGCGCCATGCCTGCCAGCCCTGAGAGCTGTCCCTTGCCTGGCAAAGCCGTACCCTACAACAGTTGCCTGCACCTGCCACCTCAGCTCTGTCAATAACGGTTGTGGCAAAGAGACAGAGGCGGTTACGCCTGATTTGACTGGACACCGCTATATAAGGACTCCAACCCCCAAAGACAAAGGGGGGAGAGAATGAAAAAATGGAGGTAATCCCTGCTCTCTAGCTCTCTCATTCCTCTAATATCATCTTCAAGCCCTCTACAATCAGAGTGCTAACTTAGGCATCGGAGAGTCCCCGCCGGGTAAGTACCCCCGGGCCCCCTAGTTCAGTTCTCGCAGGTTCCTCAAGGTCCCGCCGCCTACAAAGAGGAGGAAAGATGGAGTTCTCGCAGGTTCCTCAAGCTCCCGCCGCCTACAAAGAGGAGGAAGGATGGAGTTTTTGCAGGTTCCTTAGCTCCCACCGCCTACAAAGAGGAGGAAAATATGGAGTTCTCGCAGGTCCCTCAGCTCCCGTCGCCTACAAAGGAGAGGAGATCACCTCATGTAGAGGGCAGTCGGGTTGCGCTACACCAAGGAGTTCCACCATCCTCTGAGTTACAGGTCGCCTAGGAGCAGGTCAAATGACGAGTCCACCAAGGTAGCTCACCACCAAGGAGCTCAGCATAGCTCTCCCCCGGGCAGTTCGTCATCAGGGAGCTTGGCATAGCTCTCCCAGGTCGGCATAGCTCTCCCCCAGGCAGTTAGCCATCAGGGAGCTCGGCATAGCTCTCCCCAGCTCGGCATAGCCCTCCCCAGTTCGGCATAACTCTCCCCCAGGCAGTTCACCACTAGGGAGCTCCACCATCCTCTCTTGTGAGCAGGTCAAATGACGAGATACTTAGCCAAAAAATAAAAAAATTGGTACGTGATCAGAAACGATTGCATCACTAATCCTTACCCAAACTTCAACTCAACCCTAGTTTTTTCAGGGTGGGTTGGCTAACCCAACCCAAGTTACAGCCTTAATTCTGGATGGGTTTCTCTTTCTCTGTTTTGGTTTCAAGAAGACATGCCAGTGCGCTTCATGTGGTGGGTCAGCAGTGTTTATCACTGGTCTTCTCCAATAAAGACCAAGTTTACCCTACTAAGTACTAACCTGAATCTCACCGCACACAGGAAACAAAAGGTGGTGAATATTTTCCGATTATCGCCTATTTTAATGACAGATAAAATGTTGTATAATGCCTCTCCAATATGTCTTAGAGGTGTTCTTATCATTGTCATCCAAGCGATGAACGAGTTTCTAGATATGAGTTCAGATTTGCGCCCCACATAGCACGCCCCACAGCAAATCTCAACCGAACCATGTAGGTATGGGAGATGTTCCGTGTGGGGCTCACTCTGTGGGGCGCAAATGTGAACTCCCTTAATATATGATTTGGCACCAGACCAGCCAGACCCAAAACTAATCTTCTTCATGTGCACTTCAAGATGCACTCTGTTGTTTTGCGCTCCAATTTACTCACAATTTCTAACTCCACTGAAGAGACTGTAGCTCACCTGTTTCTGCCCAAAGTTGAAAAGAAGCTTTTCCTGAAATCTTTTCCAGATAACACCATATAAATGGCTCAAGTCATGAAAAGTTGTACCCACTAGTGATGGGCTCTCGAAATTTTATCAACCACCATTTGCCTGCTGTTAGCTTGCCCATCAAGAGCCATATATAAACTTTACTATTACTTGAGGCTGTAGGGGAGGTGTTCTGGGTGGGACAATTCATCCCTGGCCCTCTCTTGGAGCCAGAAACCTTTGACTAAGTCCATCCTGGCGTCAATCCAGAACTTCTCTGACCAGATGTTGACAAGTAATTGGAACATCTGGCTTTTGACTCACTCTAGAACCAGTTGATGATGATGAGTAATTCAGCTTCCTGGTTGGCATGGGGATGCACGCCACAAGGTTAATTGCATGGCTATTATGCTCGGTCGTCTGTCTATCCAGGACTTTCTCATGTCCACCTTCTGCTTTGGTGTGAGATACCAGCATATGCAGGTTTTTTTAGGCATTCCGCTAGCTCAAGTGCTGTTTCTTGATTATTATACCCAGAGAAAGAAGCCAAATGCCAAGATTCATTTAGTACCATTCACAACAATATCAAGCAACACAGGGAACTCTCTTTTATGCTTTTTTCTTGATGTATGACCAATATCTCTACTAGATACATATGTGCAATGAGTTTATGGTGACAAACGGAAGGAAGACGTGTCTGGACTAAGCTCCTGAGCAACTCGGAGGAGGTGCTCTATATTGATTTCAGGATAGTGCTGGAGAAGTTTCAAGTTGGCTATAAAATCACCACTAAGTAGCCTGCTTCTCACGCACAACAACATTGCACAACATATCCGAAGCAGCATATCCTGTGCATCATGGCATTTCCGTGAATCAACATTGCGTTAGACATATATTGCACAAATGCATAGGCATACATGTATACATGGAGGTAAAGAAGAGAGCAGTCAATTGAGAAAACACATAAATGGTCAAGATTAAGCCTAATGAGATGCAGATAGATAATGCTTTGCACGCACACACACAAAGACATTGAGGGAGGCAGACCTGAATACCGAATGGATTACTTAAAATAGAATCCCATATTCTCATGATAGAATTGAAACTAAATTCCTGTGTTAGCAGTAAAGTAATCCATCTGAATCCATAGAACTGTGGATTAACCTGCAAAATGGAATAGAAAGACAACCAACGAGACTCAGTCGAATAAGTAGATCAGAAAATTCTAGGACCTCACTTGAGGCATAAATGCATTTGTTCATATGGCTGTCTTTTTCTTCTTTGTTCACCTTGTTGGAAATCTCAAGATGTCGCCACAGCTCCTCATCATTTGCTTTCAGTATCTCTGACAAACGGGAAAGGGTGGAATGGATTCCTACTGCACTATTATCCAATTGCTGGCAGAAATGATCTACAGAGTCGCTCAAGAGTCGAACAAAACAGGCAAAACTATCTGCTTCTGCGTTTGCCTGTAAAATAGAGATTAAAAGATTGCATTCAGTTTAATATGCATCACTTAATGGGTCTCGGATGGGATTAATCCCAGATCATAAAATACTTATAGGATAGTTGAAACCATCCAATCTATAATGTCCATTCCCCCCAGATGCTTGGATTTTAGTTTTGATCATCCATGTTAAGTTGATACATCAAATAATAAATTTTATGTTCCCACTGTATCCAATAAAAGTGTCCTTGATGTATTTCTAAGACATAAATGACCATCCAAAACCTCTGATACATATAATGGTCTGATCTGTTATCCTTCTCGAATCATAAAACCCCTCCAATTTATCATGTTCTTTTGGGTAGAATGAACGAATGACATCTTCAAGAATGGTTATCGTAATACATGGTTTTAACAATGGTTATCATAATTTAATGATAATAGACATCACTTTAGGGATATAGTCCACCGTCATGTGTACATTGGTATTATCATTCTATTATGCTTATTATTTAGGCTGCTATTCTTTCAACATACACACCAAGGCGCTCCTTTAATTTATGTTCCAACACCAACTTTATTATCAAAAAGTAGTATGAACCAACAGCATTCCATGCTGAACAATTTATAATCTAAATTTTGTAATGACTTGTACAGACTCCTAGAAATACAATAAGAATATAAACTATTAGAATCTCTTCCAACCTTTCTTTTATTTGAGTATTGCAGAACCTCCGCAAGTGACAATACAATAACAACCATAGGTCTTGGAAGAAATTTATAATAAGAAAATCAAAGAAAAAAAAATTAATTACAATTTAAATAGAGGCCATTGCTTGAAGCAATAGTAACATCTCCACTGACAAGTGTGAGAATGTGGGTTTGAGTTTGAGAGAGACCACTTGGCACAAGAAAAAAAATTGTCAATGTTCAGGTCCTAATCCAGTCCACCCTTCCCAAGGCTCTGGATGGCCAGGACTATCATCTGGTAATGACCCTTCCTTTATATAGAAGTCCAGAACATGGAAAATTTACAACATTTTCTTTTCTTTGTAAACAATTTCACTCGCAAACACAATAGTAAATTTGTACTTACATTATATCTGTTGTTTTTTACTACACACAAATTTTGCATTGGTACCCTTCTCTGTTCTCCAGTGAAAATTTATCAAACTCTTGAATCATCAAGGTGCATGACAGCGAGAAACTCTTTTGTTGACCAACAGATAAAAGATGATTTAATTTAGAAATTAGCCATATACCAAGATACCCATTTTCTTATTTGTTTCTTATATCCAACAGCAAACTGCTTTTCTTTCTGAAATAGTCTGACGGATACTCTAAAGGCCTCAATTACTTCTTTGTTATTCTGGAATTCACTATCACTTGATCCTGATTTTTCTGGAATTTGCAGAGGAAAATGATAAATTGTTCCTTCCAACCCACCTTAGAGTTTTGAAATCAAATGCATATTTATCCAACAAGAACTGCATAAATTTAGTCATGCTTCTTCACAAGTTGAATATCTAAAGGTAACTCATTCTCAAAGTTCTCTTACAGCATTTTGCTCATCTGGATCAGTACTAAATATGTAGTACAGTGGTGCCAAGACCTCGTTCATTCCTTGCACATAACGAATTGCAGGGTTTAGTTTTGCAAATAACAGAAGAATGTTTCTCATAGCTTCCTGTACATGAAACAGAAAACATCCTATAAATCAGAGCCTTTTTTTCTTGTTGTAATTTCTTTACCTAATACACCAAAGAAATTTTCATAAAAATTAAGAGACAAACTAAAAAATGGGACACATGTATAGCAAATTGGGAATGGAAGTTTTCTTTAGTATGATATTTACTACATAGCGAGTAGAAAGAAAATTTGAAATGAAATACCCGGTTCTTTCTGCTAAATGATGAATCCCCTGAGAAAAATTTCATATCTGGGTGAGTTCGTTGCAAATCACGGTCAATCTGGTCTGCAATCTCTGCATCCTAAAAGCATGGCCACCTATAACTATCGCTGAGCTGAGCATATCACAAGGTGTCATCAAGATATATTTTAAGGTAGAGGATTCATTTACCTGGAAATATTTGTGCCAAAAACTAGTCTTTCCAAGGCTCAGAGGATGATCTTCATGAGAAATCTCATGCCTCCTTAGTGGTCCATCTACATCACAGCCTCTATCCTGCTCATGAGAAGCGATAGTTTCTTCCTTTCTTCTTGTAAATTCTGACTGTCTAGAAAAAAAGCTTTTAATTAGAGCACAGGAATATATATATACTAAAGTTCATGAATAGGATCGGTTCATTAACATCTTACAGGACTCAAGAGCAGCTCCTCTTTTAGAGCAGCATATTTTAAGCGACTTTCAGTCAATGCTCCTTCCCATATATCCCGAGAAGCAGGCAAATAACCTAAGAGCAACTACTTGTGTGCAACAAAGCAGTTGGTAATCAGTACCCATTTGCAAACCATCTGCATGTTTTAAACTGTCAATAATACCTAAGAGCTCTCTCCAGCTGAATGTGAGCTTCAAGTATCCATGGGGAATAAAAGATGATTAGTTTATTCCAAATGCAAATTGTCAGGAAAGTGGTTGTTTAGGTGATAGAATAAAAGTTCATCAGCTCAAGACTTCAATGACAAAACTTACAAATTTGATGCATATAAGAATTAATGGTGTTAAGATCAAAGATAGGAGCAATGCAGATACATTAGCTAGGGAAACTAGAGGAATAAACCGTAACATGTCTGAGCATTCTGAGTTGCTGAAGCAGGAAGAATAAACCAGATCAGAAAAAATTCCAAGAGTAAACATGGATCAACAAGGGTTGAAGTGTATGGGATATTAAGATCCATCTTATGAGGGAATCACAAAAAATATCTCATACTTCTCCACCTAAATAAATGAGCTAAATACCATGAATGGAATTATTAGAGAGATCGTAAGATAATTTATTACCTGATTAACTGTTCAAAAAAATCAAAATTGTGCAATTATAAGATGATTTAAACAAGTCATACATTGCAACCAAAAGAAAGGGGATTATGGCAGAATTACTAATGTTAATCTTATTTTATTTTATATCTCAAGACGTCACTTCAAATTTAAAATCTCGTCATTATAGGTGAAGGAAACTTTTATTGCAAATGTTAATTGAAGTAAGATTTTTTTAGCATTATCATGAAAGATGAGGTCTAAGTAAAGAGCAATTCTTTTAACTATAAGATTAATGGTCATATAGGACTAATCCATGATCCAATGTTTAAGTATATGCTTGTTGTTCTGCACACGTCTTTGGTGGTGTGGCTCCTATTGGGTCATCTGGGCCAAAGCAGATTGTAACAATTCCAACTACAGAAAGGCTCTGTTTATTATCATCTATATGTTCTCTTATCTTTCTGTATCAATGAGTATTTACTTCAAGGGGTGAGCAAATGGGAAGGTTCTACTTCTACTCAGAAATGACCTCGAAGCAGTCTTGAACCTACTCTACCCAATTTGTTACTGGGTAGGGTCTGGTTCCAAATTCTTGGAACAGACTACTAAAGGGGTATACCCTACCCGAACTTACCTGGAGAACCAGCCTTGGTTCGCCTTGGTGGAATCAGCTTTAGAACTGAACTTGCCTTGAAATAAATCCCAAAATACTTTGAGGATGTAAAGTTTTAAATCCAACTCGTGGTTGCAAAGGCCATGGTCTCACTTGACCATTGAGTCACTTAAGATATTTACAAAATTTAAATTATTATATTATATGCTAATCTACAGATTAAACTGTTCAATTTAATCAATAAAGGTAATGTAAGTTTTGAACTATATATTATGATTATTATTGTTATGATTGAAACTCAAGTTTTTAAAGAATAAGTTCCATTTTTTGGGGGTCGGGGGGGAGGAAGAGGCCAGGACCAGAACTGACCCTGGAGCGGATTTGACAGGATAAGTTCTGGTTCCAAAAACCTGCAACTGACCCCTACAAAGTAGTTTCCAGGTTCTTCCTTGAAACCAACCCAGACCATTCTCACCCCTAGTTACTTCTGTACTTGGTTTTCATTTACACACTAAACCTTATCCCTTTATATCCCTGGTTGTTACAGGTCATGCTCAAGCCTTATTCTCAAGAGTTGTAGGGCCCCAAAACCCAATGCTCTAAATTTTAAGCACTCCATACTGAAATTTAAGATTCAATCACTAAAAAGTGGAAGAGAAGGAAGTCCCAAGTCCTAAATACCCAATGCTTTTCTACATCAATTTGGTATCAAACGAAAATTTTCGCAAAACCACAAAATATGTATATTTGGGACTCCACATGCTGATCAGTCACTTGAGAAAAGAGGAATATTGTCATGTGGATTGAAAGTAGAAAGACATGGTTATCTAAATTTTGGTGTACATTAGGAAATCCTATTCAAACAAGACTAGATATGTCTATATTCTATAATGCTGGTTATCTCAGAAACCACTGAGGTAAACCAGCTATAGATAGGTTTCAATCTGCAAAAAGAGGTGCAGTTCACGATATTCTCTGCCTAATTTTTCATGAATTGACATATACCCAATAAAAGTTAAATAATGGTTCTGGAATCAAAACCTGGCTTGAAATTTAATTCCCAAAAGTTTAAGATCCGACAATAGGTCACTTCCTCTATACAAGTGACACTGAAATCTTACCTTCCAAGTTGTAGCACGTAAGCCTCCTCCATCAGGAAGACTGGAACTAGCAATTCTCTGCAATTTTTCTATGTTTATATCCTTCTGAGAAAGCTAATCAAGAAACATAGAGAAAAAATGGATCAGAATGACCATATAGATAAATGACGAGAGAAAGAATAAAAAAGATTCAAACAAAGAATGAACTTCAAACTATTCACCAATATACCTTAACTTCCTATAAAGTTTGAAGTGATTAGCCAAACTTCAGTAAAGAAAATAAAAAAAAAAAAAAGGATCAGAAATGAACTGATCAACACCTGCATTCTCTTACATATAAACAGATTCCCCTAATTTCAAAGTGAAATAAAAAATCACCTCAAACTCCAATTCCGATCTCTTCTCATCAGCAGCCAGGATCGCAGAAGCAGAAACCGGCGTTAAAATCTCTCTACTGCTTCTCCGTCGGACGGGGACATCCAATTCTGCGTCAGTCTTGTCGTCATCACCATTTTCGTTTTCTGATCCAAATCCGTTGGACTGAAACGTCTCGAGCTCTTCACCTGACTCGAACCCTAAGTCGAAGATTCCACCCTCGGCTTCCTTGTCTTCGAATCCGGCCACCAAGCTGCCGAGCCTATCAGGAAAGGCTCGCCTGTGTTTCTCCGGGATCTTAAGCTTCCCTTTTAGCATCATTCAAGATTCCGATTTGCTTCCATGGAAGCTCAGGAGAGGTAAAAGGAAAAGATGAAAGAGTGTTTTGGTTCCAGCTTCCATTACTCGCGCGCTTTCGAACCTCTCACTCTCTTTCAAAAGAATGGTAGTTAACCGTTGAATGGTAGAAATGCAGGAGAAGATATCTTGGAACATCGTAAGTCTATGATCTCCAATAGAATGTTCAATCTACACTGTCCGTATGACTTACGAAGAATCCAATCTAGACCCATCAGATTCAATCCACTGTTCACTTTTTGGATGGGACGATGAATCCAAACTTGCGGATGCTAACCCTATGATCAGGTAGTAGAAAGTTGCTATCGTTCTAAACCAGAGACCTGTGTTGGACCAGCCAAGGGTTACCCATTGGGCAGGTTGAATTTCAAAACTGGCATTCTTGTGGTCCTTCAATGCAACCTTCTCAGCCGGTAATTTGCAGCTTTGCTACCACGTGTCCTGCTTAGGGTAGTGGTAAACTCTACAACAACAATCCGCTTGTAAGGTTGACATATTAAATTGGTATGATTTTTTTGGATAAATTACAAAGCCCCCTATATTAGGGGGTTAGTGATAATTACCCCTGAACTTTCTTTTGCGAAAAAAACCTCTTTAAACTTTTACTTTACAACAAATACCTCTGGATGTTAAGTCAGATGGTAGAATACATTAAATTATCAAAATACCTACCATTTTTCTCATTATTTTCTCTTAAACCCTAATTGACCCAAAAATATTTCCATTTTCTCTAAGGGGTTTTTTTTTTGGATTTTGAGAGAGAGGAAAGTTGGTCAATGAGACTTTGATTCCCATTGACCAAAAATTCCATTTTCAGCTTTACGTGAGGACCGGGAAAGTTTATTTTCTTGGGTGGGTAAATAACTTTCCCCCTAGGGGGAAAGTTGTCAATACTTGAATGGGACAAAATTGCCCCTTTTAATAATGGATTTCTATGGTTAAAATGGTCATTGCCTTATTTACATGGGAAAAAAAGAACATGGGTAAATACACTTACCCGAATAAGTGTTTCATAGGAAAAACTTACCCAAGTAATTGAATTTACCCGGGCAAGTTACTTACCGAAAAGTAAACGGGGCCTAAAAGAAATTAACTAAAATAACAAGAATCATTTCACTGGCATAGAAAAAGGAAACAATAATCATTTTCTTTAAATTCTTGTTTCACGTAACTAATATAAATGTCTCTCTTCATATTAAAATATAAAAATTATCCACTCCTTTCACCAATAAACAAGAGAAACCAAAGGAAACCTTAAATTTATATCTATTAGAAAGAAACCACCTCTACCATTTCATTTGAATATTGAATCCAACTATAAATTTGTAATGATATATTAGAGTAACTGAGAAGACTACAATATCATATTTAGAAAACTAATCGAATCATAAACTGTTTAAATAAATAAGCAAAAGGATATTTTGGGGATTTAAAAAATTAATCACAGCTGAATGAGAATCTTCTTTGAAGTTAAATATGAAAGTTGAGGGAGTAAGATACCGTTATATTTGATATAATTAAGAAAGAGATCTTATTACCCTTTAGTTTTAATATTGAAATCTCCCCTCTAGTTTTACAATGGTAACATAGGATTTAAACCTCCACTGCTGGAGCAAGATACCGTTATATTTAATAAAATTAATAAAAAGACTTTATTACCCTTTATTATTCTTTTAAACATTTAAAGAAGACCACCAAACTATAAACAAAGAAATAGGACGAGATGGTGGGTGTCAACATCTTAAATACAAGAAGACCCCGTCCTGAAGTATTTTGACACTTTAAAAATTGCTTGATTCATCACGGCATGGAAAAGAATTCCAACGGGGTGATGATGGGGATCGGAATAAAAATCTCCTTTTCTTAATCAATGCATGCTCCATTTTGTCAGTGAATCAGTGCCCAAAAATGGTTACTCCAACCATCTCAGATTCAAACATTAGCATGTCTTCAACTTTGTGTATTTATCAATCAACTATGTACATCCCTTTGAGCTTATATGAAAAAGCTTCCTAGGCTTCCTCCTAAATGCATTCCTATTACCTTTTGAAAATTGAAGAGGTCTTCGGTCTTCCAACTTGATCAAGCTTCTTAGCTCCAACCTTAGTGCTTAGCATGCTACCAAATATTGACTTCTTCCTATTGACTAACTTTTTTTCACAATGCTCCTTCAGTCGGAGTTGGGTTTATTTCTCTTTTTATTTAGTTCAATATAAGAGCATTCGTATTCAAACATTTTCATATTTTGATCTTAAATTTAGTATTATTAATGTATTTATAGAATTTATATGTATTTCCCTAATGTGTTCAAACATTTCTATATTTTTCATCTGTATCCATACGTTTTCAAAATGTATCCATATCCATATCCTAATTATCCGATGTGATACCTAATTTGATACTTTGATCCTTAGTTACTGCCAGCGAGATCAAGGACCAGGAGTCTAACCAGGAGTGCCTATTTGATTTCTGGGCATTTCAGGCAGAGGCAGTATGTAACTCATCATAAGCTGTTGATCTTTGTGAGATCCGGGAACTCGAGATTGGTGAGAGAGATGCTTGCACCATTGGTGAAAGGGCTTGATCATCCCGATGCTTACAAGGGTGGTGATTCAAAAAAGGAAGGTTGGAGTCATTAGATCAAAGGCCAGCGCTCACGGGTGCCATTGGTTTTTTCATCTTCTTTCATGCATTTCTACCTCAGGTTTCTCTTTAATGTCATGGGCACGCCTCTCACCCTTGTTCACGTCAAAGAAACTCCCATTTTAAGTCTCTATCCCCCTTCCTCCTTAGTGAGACCCTTCTTATAAATTTGTTAGGAAAGTTAAGATAAAACTATATTTGTTATCTTAAGGATGAGAAATAATAGAGATGAAGATCAAGTTTTAGTAAAATTAGAACTTATCATGATTTAGTCTATAAATTAAGATGTAATTTTCTCATATCAATTAATGTGAAATGACAAACAGAGACAAAGCAAATGGAGTAAAATGAAGTGCTCGATTGAGCTTTCTCATTAAATATTTATAGACAGATGTATACAATAACAAGGCAACTTGCTAAGTGGATCCAATATTCTTTTTAACTTCTAACAGACTGGGTTTACATCACATATTATTTTTATTATAGGGTCATTTACTAGAACACCCCCTATAGTTTCACAAATTTACTTAACTCCACCTTATAGGTTTCATTTTACTAAAACACCCCTTATAGTTTGCAACCTATTTACTTAATTGACCTTTCATTAAGAACTATTTGTTATACCATATGAAAATGGTAACATGATCACCTAAAATAAGTGGAAAATGTTTAAGGGCATGGGCCCAATAGTTGTTTATTCCAAAAGTACCACTAAACTAAGTGGAAAATATTCAAGGGTATAGATCCATAGTTATTTATTCCAAAAGTACCCCTAACACTTTTTAGTATAGAAAACAAAGGCCTTGTTTGACAATATTCCCACTTGTTTTTGTTCTTTTAGAAATTCTTGTGCTAGAACAAGAATTTTATTTCTTGCTCCTCAAGAATAATAGAGGCATTGACAAATTGTTCTTCGATAATGGATTTTGTTATACAAAAATAGAGACAATGTTTGGATAACGAAACTATTTCTTAACATTAATCTACAAATCCATCCCCATTAAATCTAAAATTAAACACGTGTCACGTCATAACGATGTGTTTAAAATTGATCATTAGGGATAGTCTTCCAAGAGGAGATGATCGTTATGTTTAAAAAATCATATAAATAATGATCATTGGGGATAGTCTTCCAAGAGGAGATAATCGTTGCAACAGTTATTGATAAAAAAATTATAATTTTAAGATGAAAAAACAAAGCATCCAATGATCCAATGTGAAAAATGGCAACAAGGAAGACAAGCTTACTTGCGTACGTGATTCTTGCCCGAAAAGATGATTTTTGGTTGTTGTCCAATCCTTGGCTCAACCTTAACTTCTGGCTCCCTAGGTTTGCAGCGGTGGAAGGTTGAAACGAATGAAGATTTGGGGCTAGGGATTAGAGAGATGGAGTTTATAATTATGCGTGAAATGGCAATGTTGCCCTTTCTCTCACGTGGGAACACCCCTCACGTGTTCATAAATAATGGGGAACGTTGTGGGAACCACACATTCCATGAGAATGTCTTATTTGAGAGTGTCGATTTGTCATTCCCGAAAGAACATGTTTTTTGGGTACTGTCATTTTCCACTTTTGATTAAATTTTGGGTGCTATCACTCCATGATAATATCTTCTTGTTTTTAGTTTCTTTTGATTAAATTTATTTGAATGGATATTAATATTAAAACTGTCATTTTCCACTTTCATGTAATGGAAGGTTGATTAAGTAGATTGATTGCAAACTATAAGGGATGTTTTAGTAAAACACAAACTAATAGGATAGGATTTAGTAAATTCATGAAGCTATAGAGGGTGTTTTAGTAAATGACCCTTTATGAGCATCAAGAATAGAGCCCTGCTTATGAAGTTATCTTGGAGATTTTTAACAGAACAATCTTGTTTATGAGCACAGATATTATCTTCTAAATATTTGAAGACGGGTGAAACTTATACTTGGCGAGCTTTGCTGGCATCTAGGAGGGAATTATCTAGTGGTGCCAAGATTCTAATATATAATGGTTGGGACACACCATTATTTGGGGATCCTTGGGTGAGTGAACCATTCATTGCCTGTTCAATCTAGATTTAGCCCCTCAGCTAAAGTCGCCGCACTCATCAATTTTGATATAGGAGTTTGGAATCATGATTTAGTGACAACATTGTTCAATTCCATGGTGGTGGGTGAAATTTTATCAATGCCTCTACCGAATGATCCTTATGTTGCATCTGATCGTTTGATTTGACGTTTTACCCCACATGGACGGTATACTTGTGCTTCAGGACAAAAGTGTAGTGCCTACCCCATCTGGTTTGGTTCTTGTGTATCGGTGTGCGTTGACACTTATCCTTCTAGGTCCTTGTTATAATGGTTGGAGCTTTGGTGGTCATCTATCCCTCAAACACCAAGTGACAACATAAGCATTTTTACTAAATGTGCT